AGGAGGGCCTGGAGGCGCTCGCCGACGCCCTCAACCGCACCCTGGCGACTGCGCGCACGCACCTGCAGGTGAGTCCCCTTCGCGCCTAAGCCCCGGAGGGCCTGCGGTTCGACTCCCGGAAATCCTACGGTCCCAGAAAGGTGCCACTGATCGAATTCAGAAATTTGGCAATGCTCCTTGTAAGCCCCAAGAATTTGAAGGATACTCTGTATACATTCATAGGATTTACAATTCAAGTGCGTAGGCAAACTGACTTATACCTCCATAGGAATGTTTTGCTCTCTTGTCGATGGTGAGGGAATTCCTTTTTGTGGGACCGTCTTAAGTAGCTCAGAGCATCAACTGATCCTCTGACCAGGAGATCCAAGGGTTCGAGACCCGGCGGTGGCAGAATGTTCGACACGAACCACTTAGCGAGGTCGAGTTCAGCCGCTGTGAAGAAGAGAATTCTATCAACTGGCTGCTCTGGTCGGTAGTTTTCCGAGATTACCCCGACCAACACCAGGCAAATGGTGAGCACTACCCTAACAAACGAGCCACGGACCACGCGCTACCTTTCCCGCCATTTCCTTGTCTTTTCCTCGCCCCCCTTCTTACATACTCTCTTAGATGCCCGACAATACCACACAGGTGGGAAGACCAGTCGAGAGCTTAAAACTTGTCGCAACTGAGGCGTTTCCTTAGGAGATACCTGGAGGGGAAACCCAAAAGCTGACGGGTTTCCTCCACCTAGTAAAAAAACATGCCCTACACTTACGGAACTAATGATCTGTGCCGATGACGCACCCGCAATCACTAACCAATCAGTCGATCGATATTCCTAACCATAACTTTGACGGCTCACCCCAATGGCTAATTCATCGCGCTAGTTCAGGGTGTTTTATAATAAACTAGCTTGTAACCGGTGTTGCTGTCGCAGAGTAAATAAGTGTGAAAATATCGTTTGAAATTTGAGTTATTTTGTTATATTTCTTATTTAAGAGTTAACTAATTTACCCACTCTCTTTTCTATCTCCCTTTTCCCACTCTCATTTCTCTGTTTTTCCTTCGCTCTCATTTTTTACTATTTTCCCCCTCGTCATTTCCCCTCTTCTCCCTCTATTTTCCTCTCTCTTTTTCTCTCTTCCTCCCTGTCTCCTTTCCTCTCTCTCCTTCACTTTCCCCCCTCTCTCTTTTCCCCTTTATCTCTGTCCTTTCACCTCCCTTTCTCCCTCTCTCTTGTCCCTCTCCTCTCTTATTCTTGCACCGCCCACTCCTGTCCTTCTCTGTCTTGACCCACGTCACACGGAGACGCTCAGCAACAATAAAGTTCAAGAATCAATTGCCCTTAAATAAAGCGTCATCTAATGCTACAGCGCCATCTAGCGGAGTTATAATAATCGTACTATACATCCTTTCCACAGGTGCAAGCAATAATTTCACAGTTTTATCGCAATCGGATGAACGGTATGGCAGAGCATTATGCACGAACCAACCAACACACTTTTAATTTTTTATATTAGATGTTATAAACCATTATATCCTGTAGAGGGGGCGAAAATGGTCGATTTTTGCCCATGGCCATGATATAAGAAATTTCGTATAACAGAGCAACAGAGGATCCATTTGCCCCTGATTGTTGATTGGTTGAACGGTAGGTAGGTTGCGATAAAACGCGATTGTACGGGTGGTAGGTCCATGAAATCTCCTTGACTGCTTCAGAATGTGACCAGGCAAACATCAAATAATAATTAATTACCTACCAATTAGAAGGTAATTCTAAATAAATAATAAATAAAATAATAAATAAAATAATAAGTAAGGAAATAATAAATTAATTAAACACCTAATATGTAACATTTTTAGCCCACTATATATGTCCTACAAGTTTGTAACAATTATTCTTAGGTCCGCGTATCCTAAAAGCAAATAAGTATATCTGAAAATTGAGCGAAAGACTTCGATACCCTGGTCACCCAATGCACCAAACCCGCTCTCCACGCGGCCTCCGCTGCTGCCCCCGCAGAGAGACCGCGGCGTCTTCGTCGTCATAGGGCAAAGTGCCTGCGCAAGCGAAGCTCAGAATTGCCAACATCGAAAATTTCATCAGTTATAAAAGAAGTCGGGACGAAACTAGAATGCTGATAAACGAAAATACATCAGCCTTCTTTCCAGGCCCTTTCCTTCCCTGACGATTTCTGGCGCAAAGTGCGTCACATTCGGAAACACTACGGGGAATATCCCAAGGAAACGTTCTCAACACTGCAGCCTTTCAATAATTATTATGTAAATAAATATTAAATGCATTATAAAAGTGGCTTTGTAATTTATAAATAGTAATATTTGCCAATTTTAAATATTATTGTCATGGAGTTCTGATAACCGAAAGTTGTAATAACCTTTGTTGAATTCTGTCTTCCTAGATTTGTTTTGCTTCGTTGTATGAATATTCTGTTTTCGTTAATCTAAAATTTTGTTTCAGAACAATAGGCATCTTTTGTTAATAAATTATATTACTTGTAATTATTGTTTTTAGAGTTCTTTGAATAAATACGAGAGGACGAAGTGCGGGTGTCGCTTGCCATGAAGCGGGGGTGAAGTGCGGGACTAGTGATGCAGGTTCGGGGGTTGTCTCTGGCCGTGAAGGGAGGGTGAAGTGCGGGGTGTGTGATGCAGATGCAGGTTGCGTCGCTCGCCGTGAAGGAAGGATGAAGTGTGGGGCAAATGTTTGCGGGGGTTCTCGGCAGACATGAAGAGGGTGTGAAATGCCGGGTGTGTGTTGCAGGCGCCGGTGGTATCTCGCGCCGTGTAGGGAGTCTGAAATGCAGGGTGTGTGTTGCAGGTGCGCGGGTTTTCGCTAGCCATGAAGGGTGTGTAGTGCGGGATATGTGTTTCAGGTGCGGGTAGTGTCGCTTGCCGTGTAGGGAGTCTGAAATGTGGGGGGGGGGGTTTTCAGTTGCGGGGGTTTTCGCTAGCCAGAAAGGGGGTGAGAAATGCCGGGTGTGTGTTGCAGGTGCGGCTGGTATCGCGCGGCGTGTAGGGAGTCTGAAGTGCGGGGCGTGTTGTAGGTTCGAGTGGTGTCATGCGCTCTGGAGGGAGAGTGAAGTGCGGGGTGTGTGTTGCAGGTGCAGGTGGTGTCGCGCGCCATGGAGGAAGTCCGTGGGGGCGGCTCCCGGCGCATGCGCGTGGTTTTGCGTGGGCGGCTGCCTGCGTCACCCCCAGCGTTCCTGGCACGTGACTGGGCCGACGACCTGGACCTGTCCCCCGAGGCGCTGGCCAACCTCTTCATCGAGCTGGCGGCCACCCTCGTGGGGCTGTCGTGGGGCGTCTACTCCATGTGGTTGGCTGGATAAAGCAACGTTCTTCTTTACTCCTTGCTCGTTTTCTTTTCCGTGTAATTTTTTTAAAAACCTGAGAAATGTGGAGCAGGCTGAAAGAGCCAAATAAACTGAGAGTACAAACTGTCGTTTATTTCTTGAGCTAGTAAAATGGAGGGCCGCAGGTTAATGAATAGGCTCGAGTACCGTCCCTGAAGAGGAAATCTTCGAGTGAAGAGGTGCGGCGGTGTGTTATGCGCGTGTGGAAGCAGAGCTGCCTTGAAGGGAATGTGCAGTGCTTGTCGCTCACCTGCTACTTCTTGCTGCCACACCGTGGGTCCAGCCTAACAAATATTATAAGCACTATATATTATTTTTATCCCTTATATAATATTAGTAGCAATGCTCAATATTACTAGTTTGGGCTTAGACGTTTTCCTAACGCCCATACATCTTCTTTAGAAGGCCTTTCACAATATTATTTTGTAACTGAAAAAATATGCACGTGTTTTTTGGTTATGAAACATTGCTGTGTTATAATTTATTTAATTGACACACTAAAATAGTGTCACAGTGGTTGGAGTGTCGTATCAAAGGGGATGTCAGAGAAAATAATTGAAAAGAACTGTTTTCTGAACGAAAGGTCTTAGACTTTCCCCTTAAATCAAACAATGTGATACAAACTGTGCACAAACGTGTTTTTTGAGCTACAGTACATGTAAAGAAAGCAAATTAAATGCATATTAAAATTGTGAAATGTCTTAATAAGCACATTTTTTCCTTTGGCTCACAAAGTTTCAGAAATAAGGGTTATCTTTATGCTGACCCAACCGCTTCAAATATGATAAGTCATCAGGTGTGTATTTCTACAAGTCCATAAGGTCATTTCACAGGTACACAAGTCCATTTCCATAAATCCATTCCGGTGTATGCATAGAAATCCTGTGGAAAAAGTCCATCGCCACAAACTTTCATTTAGCTTACAGTGTCCGGGCATTATCCTACATGATTCGCGGAATCGTGGCAACCGAGAATTATGAATTAGTTGATGTAAGATGGCCTAAGAGCAGAGCTGTCTATGAATGAGGTATTCCCATGTAATTTCTTTTCCATTTTCTTTTGGGCAAAAGCAGGCAAGCGAGTGTTTTGCTTCTGTGGCGCCGCTGAGTAGCCGGTCAAGCTCATCAGCTGAGTCTGGCTCTCCTAATTCGCCGGCAGTGTTATAAGTTAAGCTGGTTTACACGGTCTTTTTTGCATCATTTTTTTGTACAGAAAGTGGATGGAAAAGGGACGTTGGTTTTATACGCAGTATGTTTCGGTGCCGAAACCGGATGGGAGTGATTCCAGCGTTTTACACGGTCATTTCTATCTGCACGTAATCATGAAGAAAATACTTCCTTCGGACGCCGCATATACCGCTGAAGTTCAAACATTTGAACATCGCATCTGTGGTAACAAATTAAGTTAGGATATATTAGGACCGAGCACGGATGCGACAATATTAGAATACAGTACATAATTTATTTATCACTACATAACAACTTCACATTACAATTCAACACATCAGAACGCTCTCACGCAACTAGAAAATGAACATACCGTTCCACGCATAACAAACCAGAGAAAGTCCCGTAAAGTGCCGCCATGAGCGCGGTAGTCAAACTGGATGAAATCTGTACCGAAAAATGAAGCATTCGTCATTTTTTCGTACAAATTACATACGGTCTGGTCTGTATCTTTTCTGCATCGGCGAAAAATGATGAAAAAATGATCGTGTAAAACAGGCTTTAGAACTATTAGAATTTGATGCATTTGCGTGTGGCAATCGCATTCAGCTCTTCAGTGAACAGGTCTCCGAAAACTTACCTTTGCCACTGGCGGGAGTACAAAGTGGGGACTTTACCGGTGACAGAAAAGTCAGAGAGTCAAAAGTCAGTCTTTGTAAGCAGAAGTTCAGAAATAGACACCGAGACAAGTAAGCGGGCCTGGTGGAAAATGTAGGTTTGGTGGGTAGCTACATGCACACAAAAAATTCCGGAAGGGGGGAAATACACAGAATTTGGGGTGAGAGAAATATTCCACAAACTGCAAATTCTAGAAATAAACGAACATTTTCGATTTTGCGTCGATTAAAAACATAGGCGATCAACAATGTTGTAAGATCGGCTCAACAATACGGCGATTTTTCTTGTTTATAGCGACATGATCGACATTTGCAAAAATTATTAAATGGATTTATATAAAAAAATGCAAAGCGCGGCGCTGTTTTGGCATTGCAAAAATGAACTGCTGAAGTTACATAAAATAGATGTGATAACAACTTAATGATAAACATGACAATTTGATATAAATGTTTTGCACTTTTTATTTGATATTCGTTTTCCGAGGTAAATGGAGGGGGGAGGGAGAATCTCCACCCAGGTCATCTATTCACTCGGACACAACACCAATCGCAGACCCTACAAGTAAGGTGCTGTATACACAGCTGCATTCGAAGTTTGCGCGAGTCGGCACGCGCTCCAATCTTAAGGGTGCAGAAGATGGAATCCAACGAAATGCATGAAAAAAGGCGGAGGCTGATATTTTTCACATATAACAATTCATTCAATTGTACAGTTTAAAAAGCAAATATATCAAGAGATGCAGAAGTTCCAGTTGCCAACAGGAAAATACCTGACTCGTTACACACCGAGTTTTGTGACGCCAGAAGAAGTACGAGTACCAATCAAAGCCGATTAACAATGAATCCGGGAACAATCACAGTATTTCAGCTCGATAACGGAACTGTCACAACACACACACACACACACACACACACACACACACACACACACACATACACACACACACACTCTTTACGCTGCAGCTCTGGCTGAATCGCTTCTGTCCTCTCTGGTGTTGAACCGCCCTGTATATACGCGGCCCCAGGCTGTCGCAGACTCGTTCTCGCGGATCACTGCTTGTTGAAGCGGTTAGCTTGCTGTTGCTTTGCGCCCTTAAGAATATAGCGCGTGCCGGCTCGTGCGCGCGTGCCAACTTCGAATGTAGCCGTGTATACAGCATGAAGGCCCATTCACGATGCAAACGTAAACATAAGCATAACGCATAGACGTAAACATTAAAATAAGTGATAAACTGAAGTATACACAATGTCTAACATAAACAGTTAAAAAAATAAAGAGTTTCTATTGGCTGTGAGACATTCTAGTTTACTTACTATTGGTTCGATGTGAGAATCGATTTCGAGGTATCAACTTTGTCTATGGCCCATATGGCGTTAGTTCATCTATCGACTTTCCTCCCCTTCGATTCTCGATTTGGAGTTACCGTTCTGTGATTGGTTCATTTCTTATGTCTTACTTAAGCATAAGCACACAGAAGCTTGAAGCTTACACACTTCTAAGTTAACGTCTTACGTGTTATGCTTATGAGAACCTTACTTAAGCATAAGCACAGAAGTAGAAGCTTGCAAGCTTTTAAGTCAACATCTTACGTGTTAAGCTTTTGCCAACGCATTGTGAATGAGTGCGCTTATGGACGTAGTCCTAACTTTAATGTTAACGCCATGCTTATGTTTATGTTTGCATTGCGAATGGGCCTTAAGGCATTCAGTATTCGATAGTAGGATGGACTATTATTGTTAGGTATATTCTTTCCGATTACATCGCTCTTGAAAGGGGTTAACTGCGAGAGGAGAGGCAGCGCAGGTCCCTCGGGGGGCGCGCGAACAGCAGCGCCAGCGGCAGCCCCAGCACCTGCGCATTTCCAAAGAGCGTGCACATTTGGGGCTTACATTTACATGGGGCGTGGAGGAGCACGGAGACCGTTCTTGCGTCGGTGCACCACCCCACGGAAAGTTTTTTTGATTAGTGGTTGCGGATGCCTCAACTGGCAAGGTCGTCACTCTCGTATGTGTAGTACTTGGTTTTCGTGTTAGAAGATTCGTTTTTTCTAAATTTAACAACTGGATTTATCCAATTTCCAGGGCCCGGCAATAAGGGTTTTTCCTTTTTTTCCGGCAGCATTACATTCTCTCTCTCTCTCTCTCTTTTTTTCTCTCTCTCTTTCTATCTCTTTCTCTCACTCCCTCTCCCTCTCTATCTCTCTCGACTGCGCAAGCGGTAACGAGAAAGTTAAAATAAGACCAGATTTTGAGATGTTCTTTTTAAAATTTGCATTAATTTCAATCAGAAATTACGGAAAACGACTCGTTTCTTTTAAAAAAATGTTTGACCTTTTATAAAGGTAAGCTCTTTTTTAATGAAATGATTTTCGAGAACAGATTATCTTAAAACAAAAATCATTTTCTTCCTTGTGAGATGGCGGTGATCTTCGCGCGCTAGATGGAGAGATCTCGCCCCGACCTACACGTTAGCTAGCGGGGTTTTCCAACCAGGTATCTCCCACCAGCCGAGCATCTCCCCAGCCGGGACAAGCTCCCGACATGTGTGGTAGTGTAGTACGAGTATATGTAAGTGTAGTTGGAGTAAGTAAGGGGTGAAGATAGAGCAAGGAAGGGGACGGAAAAATTACGCGCGGTCTGTGGTAAGGTGTGCTAGGTAACTGCTCCAGCATTCGCCTGCTGTTTATCGTAGAAATCACAGAAAACTACCGATCAGAGCAGCTGGCATCTAGAATTTTCCAGACAGCGACAGAACTCGACAAAGCCATCTGGCTAGTGTCGAAAATCCTGCTCCCGTCGGGACTCAAGCCCCAGGACCTCCCGGTCAGAGGCCCTGCAGTAACATCAGTTGATGACTTGAGTCACCTAAGCCGGTCCCACGAAAAAGAGATTCTCGCATCATTGACAAGAGGGCTACACATTTCTGTGGAGATTATACTAAGGTGGACCTACGAACTTGAGTTGTAAATTCTATGAATAAGCACAAATTATTGTATCGCATACACTATTTGTTCTTAGGGTTTACAGGGAGCGTTGCCAAATGTCTGAATAATATCAATGACACCTTTCTTCTAGAATGTGGATGAAACGCCTAATGCTTTAAGAGCAGAAGCTATGAATACTTACTGCAAGAAGAGCCGTGACCAGGGCTAACCCGCCAATTCTGTTGGTGAAGTCAGAAATGGCGTAAGTGAGCTCATCTTTGCAGCCTCTCTTGATGGTGTACTTAGAAGACTTCGAACAATTTTGTTTTTCAGAAGAGCAACAGGAACCAGGAAATGCGTCATCGGACACGTTTTGGAAATCGTCAACTCCGAAGTATCCACAACATTTCAACTGAAAAGAAACGAACATCTCTTAACAAATAAAGTATTAGTTGGATCAGTGCGAAATTTGTAAACCCCTGATTTAAAAGTAAATGGCTTCATTCCGGAACCCAATTTCGAACGGCAATCGATCAGTGGTGAAGGCCAGAAGCAATAGGTGGTGGGTATTATCGTGGTGAGTTTGGCATGGTCGGACGTACACATGAGGCGAGTCGTGAACATCTACATTCCCAGTTTACAGAACAGAATTGAACTTTCGCAGGAATACCTGCACAGCGCCTTGAATTTTTATTAATGCCTTGAATTCAGTTCATTCCACGTTATATCTTTCAGTTAAACCTCACTTCATATCTTCCTGTGTCATTTTGTAACTTTAAATCCTCTATAACACTCTTATTGTTCCATACTGAGCATAACTATTCATGGATACACGCAACACTCCATGCGCGTTGGTCACACGTTTGCTCTCCAGAACATTACAACATATTCAGCTTGTTGATTCCTCGCATAGAGTTCACATTATTTATTTCCCGTATAGGTACGCATATACGGAGTAATATACGTAGTATAGGGAAAGTTATGTAATTCTGTGGAAAATCGATTTAGAGATTTCAATGGAAATTTTGGAGTCCCCTGATACCGAAATAGTGGTTATTTTCAAAACGGCCGTCTGTCTGTCTGTGAACACTACTAGCGCCTAAACCATGCGTAGGACGTTTTCCAAATTGAAGAAACTCCTGTCCATCTGGATCGATTCAAAACTTTAAGATTTTGTAAAACATTCTTCAAAATTTGGGGGTACTTAACATGAAGTCCTCCAGACATTTTAATTCTTTTTTTTAAACGGCTCCAATTTTTTCTTCGAACTTTCTGAACACATAGTGCTAATTGCACTCTTAAGATGACGTAGAATTAATTTTGCTATATTCATCTGTTTTTCAAAAATTACACAAATATACATTTTTTGGAAGATCTCTGTCGCCTCTAATATGCATATTTCCAGCGATTTGTAAACACTATTGCATTTGTGACTTGAAGTGTTTGAAATGTCATATGAAGTTTTTCAAAAACACAATAGTTGTCAGTGAAAAGAGGTTCTAATTTTGAATTTACAGTGACGCTGAAATAGCATTTTCTTAAAAACGGCTCCGAATTTTTCAATGAAATTGCCAAAGCCCACTAAGAAGAGATTTTGAAGAAGGCAGTGGATGGATATCGTGGTAAACGAAACTAGTGGTGCTACAGTATGACACAGACTTTCTCGAATTAGTTTTCTATTTCCATTGGGCTCGGCTAGCTATTTGGACTTGCCACATACTCTTGCTAGCTGCCATCTATCGCTGCCCAAAGTACATCTTTTTTAAAATTTTCTTATTTTTTTGGCTTTCTAATAGAAGAACGGAAGTATTATTTTAAGGACATTAAAGAACAGTAAAACCTCGCCCTAAATGGCAATTTTCAATGACAAATTTAGAGCCGTTTTTTAAGAAAATGGCGTTTAAGCGCTACTGTAAATTCGAAATTCGAAGTTCTTTTTCACTGCAAATTTTTGGTTTTCGAAAAACTTCATTTAAAGACATTTGAAGACCTTTCACTCACAAATACTATAGCGTTTACAAATTGCTGGAAATGTGCATATTCACTGCCTAAGAGATCTTTCAAAAAAATTACTTTTGTGTAATTTTTGAAAAAACAAAAAATACCACGAATTGAACTTTACATAATATTAAAGAGTGCAATTGGTACTATCCGTTCGCAAAGTTAGGAGAAAAAAATGAGGGCGGTTTTTGAGAAAATGGTGTAGGAACATTTCTGAAAATGCAGAATTCTGAGCTACTTTTCACAGACGACAGTTGAGTTTTCGGGAAACTCTATATGACAATATTTAAAGGACATGTACTCTTAAATATCATAATGTGAAAAAAATTGCCGATAGAATAAATATTAATATGAGAATCAAGTTGAAAAAAGACGCCGAAAAAATTCATACTTTTGAAATTTTCGAAAAGTCAGAGTTAACTGTGAAAATCGGACCTATGCCACATTTATAAGTGTGTTACTCTATTCTTACAAGAAATGTAAAGAACAAATTTGGAGATTTTTTTGAGAAAATTTTGATAATGTTTGGGGTGCTTGATGTAAAGTGCCCGCAAATTTTAAAGAATGTTTTTCAAAATCTCAAAGCTTCTACTCGAGCCAGATGGACAGGGGTTTCTTCAATTTGAAAAAAAATGTCAGTATTAAATTAGAGTACGAACGAGTACAAACAACAACTTATTAGATAATGAATTACATTATCTATATCAATTTATTAGTATTGAAGAAAGAAGAAAGAAAAAATGTATTAATGTTGCCGTATATTAAACTCAACCATGCAAGAACTTTAAATACGATAATAGAAAGAACCAAAGAGCACAGTGAAATAAAACCAAGCTCATAATGAAATAATTATTCAATACAAATTTATTACTCTAAACAGAATGTTATTACTTTTGCCGTTTATTTAAGAAATATTTTAAAATCTGCATATTTATGCAACCAAGCACGACATTCGAGAATTACTTTAGAGTGTGAACGGGCACAAATAAATAAAAACTGTTAGATAATTAAGTATACATTCAATCCTAATTTATTACCCTAAAGAGATATGTATTAAGGTTGCTGTTTAATAAGTAATTTGTGCTCAACACGGCAGAGTTATGCAACCCCCAAGACATTTGATTAACCTTCAGCCATTCGCATCAATTGTCGTTTAGTGTCACATGCACGATCGCGCCAACTCGATACTCCTGAAGTATTCAGTAAATATTTAATTATAACATGAAGAAATGTTACAAAATTAGGATATTTTTAATTTGACTACTTTACCTCATTTTGAACTACAAAGAGATTATAGGAAGTCATCTGTGAGGGCTGCTTGTTGTAGTCTAATACCCACTTCAATAATGTGTTTAACATTTCTGATGTTTCATTTTGTTGGTACCAAAAACATAAAATCCCAACGACCAATTGGGAAACAAAAATAAACACCAGCAAAGCCTGAAACTTCAGAAAAATATAAAACACTTAAACAACTTTACTGCGACCATTACAATAATATATAGTTTGATAACTATTAGTATAAAATTACTGTACATCGAAAACAAATATTTCAAAACAAATTTTAAGTTATAATGTATTAAAAAATAAACATTTTTAAGTATCATTTTTGTAAATTCTAGTGTTCTACCACCAAGTTTCAGAAAACACACATGCAGATTTAATAAATATCAATCTATTCTCCTTTTAATACCCCCATAGTCATGAAGTGGTCATCTTGTAGAGGACAACAATATCCTAATAGTCCAACGACGATAACTATTCCACCGATGACATTTATAAAAATTTCGAAGCACACGTAATCCCAATCTTCGTCTTGAAGAACATCAGTCATTTTTGTGTATTTTCTATGATCAATGGCAGCAATTAAAAGTACCAAAACACCAACGATCTGCAACCAAATAGGCATAAATTGTTTACAATAATTACGAAAGCAAACTAGTGGTGATACACCACCACAAATGTTTTCGCACCATTTCTAATTTTTAAAGTCTTCGAAAATACGGGAAGTTCAATGAAACATGAGACCTGTGCCATTTTTTATGCGTCTTTGATCTATCCGTGGAAAAAAATTAAAGAAAATATTTGAAGCCGTTGAGATTTGTTTCTACTATGTATTAAATTACTGCCGATATTACGCGAAATTGCTCAATTAAAAAAATGTACATGAAATTTTTTAAAAAACTTAGTTTTAAATCAAATTTTATTTTATGGTAATCAATATTGTACTTTGGCAACATTAATGCTTTTCAATTTTTGAAAGTATAGAAAATGCAACCAGCGCCCATTTTTTTTGCCGTTCTCGGATATCTGGGAGAAGAATATTTTAAAAAATTGAAGTCGTTTTTGAGAAAATAATTGTTTGAAAATATCTACATTTAATGCAAAACCTCGCAAAAACTATTCATATTTTTGAAAACTTGCACGTGAACATATTTTTGTATTTATCTTGAAAAACAGCTTTTATTAAGAAAACAAATCAGTCTTCAATATTGTAGATGTAGAATGGCGTAAAATAGGTTGAACTTTTCTAAAATTCAGAAATATCAATGGCAATTCAATATGCGCGTTTTATTTAAGTGTTATTTACGCTATTCAAGGATAAAGTTTAATCAAAAGGTGTTTCGCTATTTTTGAGAAATTTGTGAAAATATTGAGCCTTCATTTAAAGTACCCCCTCCCCCATTAATCAAAAGATCTATTTTAAATTCTCAGGGCCTCGAGCTTGTTCAGATCAATCGAGGAATATCAATATTGGAGAAAATTGTGGGAACGGTTTAGGCTAGGTGTGTCGAACTTTCAAGGCCTCAAGCGCCACAACTAAAACCTTTCATATGGTTGAGGGCAATATTTTCATTTCTCGAGTGATCCACACCTAACTTCTTGTCGTTGATCTCGGCAAAATGACCGACTGCTCCGAAAATGGGGAGGGAAAGAATGTATGCTGTATCCGCCGGTTCTCAATTTTAGAAAACTCATAAGACTTCAACGAAATGACATTGCCAAAATGCTGTGCAAAATGTTTACGATATCAGGGCTCTACAAATTCTCTTGTCACAAAACTGGCCGATTTTTGCCGCAGCGTGAGGCGAGAATGTAAAATTTCTGACGTTTTTGAGAAATGACTGTTTACTTAGCATTGGGAAAATGTGATTTCTTTGTAACTTACTTAACTTTTGTATTTTTCTTAAATTGACCTTATCATAATTTACAGATCTAAAATTGAAGGACCTCCAGGGAGAATTTGAGGAAATTAGAGTAAATAGGTATAATACCAATTGTAGAGATGACCAAAAAGGTAAAATTACACTAGAATTAAGTGAATGTCTTTCTGCCCTCTGAAGGTTCCATGAGTCGACCGAATGGTGAGCGCTGGCAATGTGGGATATAAGTCTTAAGAACACTGAACAACAAACAACAGTCAATCATCAACCAAATCAAATATTAGACAATTAGCTGATGCCTTTTGACAAAACGGAATACATGAAACAAGCTTTTCAAATCAGTCAAATTATTTTAGCGTGGTTACTGAAGGTCGTGTGCTCAGAGCAGCCGGAGGAGTCCATTCCTCAAACTTATCGGTTTAGGGGGAAGTGCGTCCGTTCCCAGCACGCTTTGACAGCCCTACTACAGATGTGTGAACGTTCGCCCTGACTTTCCGTCTCTTCGAGGTGCAAGCTTTCAGTTGCGTTTCCCTACTAAGGATTATAGATTGAAGCGCATGTTCGCGATGCGTGTAAAGTTCTGTTAGTATTATTGCCATGCACCCGGTTCAGAGCAAACGACATAAGAAAGTCCTTCGCAGTCAGAAGCGTGAAATCGTTGCAAAAGTACTTCAATTAATGAGAGAAGCAAAATAAGGCATTGAAAGTGTCCAAGCAGTACTTAAGGGAGTGGCAGTTGATGCTGGTATTTCGAAAATATCTCTTAGCAATTCTTAAATGTGAAATAAATTCTGTAATCGGAAGAATCGTCAACTCCTAATAAAGAGAGGAAGAACTAGGAATCTGCTCTCAACAGTTTCAATAAAAGTAATTCTTGTCTTCGTTTTATTGCGTCAACATAGAGGCAACGCATCTCCAAGCCCCTTGGGGCTGTTGAGCGCTTTGCGCCTGGAGTAATCCTGCATTAATTGCGCATGAGTAATCCTCCATTAATATCGTCACGTCTCGTCGTAGTCAGATGTGAGGAGGACCGCCAGGTAGCTCCCCGCGTACGCGCCTCCTACTAGGCGCTCCTGCGTCACTATCCAGAGGCCAGAATTGGGTAGGATTTAGGATAGAGGTAGGGTTTAGGAGACTTCACAGGGGTTGGACTAGCCCTTGTGAAGCAGTCAAACTGGTTTTGTTGGAACAAATTTCACATGAGATTGTCCGGGCTTCGACGGGAATCGAACCGTCAAATTAAGCCGTCATCGTTCACTTTGCTTATGGAAAATTTCAACGTTATCGCCTAATATTTGCTTGAGTAGTTTTGATATAAACAATGATTCATAACTCTCCGTTTCCACAAAAAGAATAAGCTTTTCTAATCCGCTTTTTTGTGATCTGAGCAGGCGCGACTGGTTATTGAAGGCTGTAAGATTGAGCCTCAACAGAAATCGCCCCCAAAAGAAATTTAAGAATATATTTTAAAATGTATTTACACAAAAATAATATTTTTTTTTGAGTTATATTATGTAACAATCATATCAATATTTTTCTCTGTCAGTTTGATAACGTCTGTCCGTAACGCATTTAAAGTTGGTGACAGGGAGGAGAAAAGCGTTAGGCTCCCACTTCATTCCGCCATAAGGCCTGTGTAAAACGAGGAGGCGTGACGTCATGCACTCACTACACAGGCTTACCGGCGGATGAAGGCTGCGGGCAACCTTCAAGCCTTCAAGGCTGGGGCATAGGGTCTGAAGAAGGCCGTGCTCAACAGATAGCATTACTATGCAGCTCAGCGAGTAGCATTGAGCACCAACTAATCTCTCAATATGCGGCGCGACTCCCGTATGCCTGTATCGAAAGAGATTATGTATAGAAATATAATCCATATAATGCAAGGTAATGTAATGCAATGCATTTGCAGCCTTCCCCAATTAGAAAACCACAAGCAGCGACTGAATCTGAATCTGAACCAAAAGCTGAAATTCTTAAAAGACTTTCAACACAATGTGGTGCGACGTTTTCCTTGGCAAAGTGTTTACCAGTGGATTGAACGATTCAAAAGCAATTAAAGAAGTATGCAGAATGAGAAAGGAGGAATATGTCCAGCCTCATCCACTACTGATCCCAATATTGAGCAAGTCTGTGTTCTGGTTCTGCATACCCGAGTGAACATTGATGAAGATTGATGATGATTGATTCCCGTACCTTCGTATTATTCCATCTACTATATCTAATAAAGATGAAACTAACATTATTTACACCTATTCGCAATGTTGTTTGACACTTGTCATGAAAAAATACGATAATAATTACTTCAATACTTTACTGCGATTTACTTTTTGTCACCATTATTTTTCGTCAGATTTGCTTAAATCACATTTACAAAATTAAAAGTTATAATAACTGACTTTTGATTATTCAGATCAGTGTCCATCATAAGTATACAAATAAATGTTACAAAAAGAATACATACTGTCAGTACTGTTGCATATAAAATCACGAATATTCGTGCGAACAACATTGTCTTCTGTCACCCAGGTAAAAGTAATATAAAATAAGATGAAATATATAAAAATTTAAATATTATTTCTTGTAATGCAGAAAAACCAAGCATGAACAGACGTATTTCCTAAAACAAATGAAAAGTGAAGAACCACTACAGTATTGTTGTGTGGCAACTTTTGAAAAATTAAAGCGTTAAACACACTTTTCTAATCAATGTAGTGCTTTTATAACGAGTTACAGTCTTATTTACGGGGGGCTTACTAACTAACCTTATTACTATGCTGACAACCTATACTTAGTTCTAGACATATCTACTACGTAACTCTACTACATATTTACATTGGTTACTAGTTTCTAAACTTAAAAATAATAATAATTAGAAATAAATAATAATAGTAATTAAAAAAATACAAAATTAAAATACGATTTAAAAAATAAAAATGCACACCATGGCACAAAACATGGATACTAAATTTAAATATTTTGACCTGGGCGCTTGAATCTTATTATATGCGTAGGTTTTCTTGCGCCCTAGCATACCTACCTTTACTTATATTAGTTGAATTCAGAATAAATGATAGCAACAACTTTGTAGACAAACCCTGATAATCAGAAGTGTTTGCTCCTGCCTAATAGAAAATAGTTTGCAACGAAAAACGAGCTACAGATTTCATATAATAGTCCTGTCAATAAAAAAATCAACCCCCCCCACTCCCCTCGCATCTAGCGAAATGGGGGCTCAAGAAAACGTGCGTGTGTCATAGAAACTAATGATCTGGTCAT